TATTCAGTATTCTTTATACCATGTTTCAAATCCATCAAGGCTTTGTTCTTCCTTATTCACCGTCCAACTTTCCCATGCATATGGAGTGATTGAATATACTATGGCTTGGGTTGGATGCACCTTGGTCATCGAAATGACATCTTTGCTTTTTAAAAAAAAATTTTTTTTGTAATACTTAAAAGATGTCTTTTGCAACAGATTTGCTGAATGCAGCATGTCATTTGATTTCTTGACTGTTGCTTCCAGGGGTGTTAGTTGTACTAACAATCCCAAGGGGAAAAGGGGAAAAAGTGTCTTATCACAAACACTATTTCCACAAGGCCAATAGCTCCTAGACGATCCCCCCACCTTTTCTCCCTAGTCCTTCTAAAGTATGGAGTGGGGAGTGTAGTAATGATGTGATAGTAGTTAGTGGCAGGAAGTTGAATTCTGTTGTTTCTAGTTAAGCCTTTAATAAAGTACCTGAATCTTGTTTAGATTTTTGGATAACAATTTTTGTTTTTAGCTGTGAGCACTAGTCACCAACCCTTGGACATACAAAAGTCTGTTACAGCTCCTTTTTAGTAGTCCAAGAAATAGGATGGGGGGGCATGGACCAGGGTGGTAATGAAAATGGAAATAATTAGGTGCATTTGGGATATAAAGTCATTGTTAGCTGTTATTAGGTGCCATGGAGTCATTTTTGACTCTTAGCAACCATTTGCACAAAAGGACGAAACCCTGGCCAGTCCTATGCCAACCTCACAATATAAAGCCAATGGGACATGGTAATAGACTGGATATAGGGGAAAGAAAACAAAGAAATCAAAGAAGAATATTTCAATTTGAATTAGATGAATGAAAGTGCCATTTGCTGAGGTGGGGAAGAGTGGAGGCAGAAAGAGATTGAAATGAAAATGTGAAGGTGAATTTGTCAAGAGTATTGCATTCATTATGATCAGCAATGTAGAAAACCTTTGCCCTCAGGCTGAGTGTTGGTGAATATGGATTACTAGGATTTACCTATCAGACCAGGGAAGGGCAATCTTGCTCTGAGGAACTTGCCTGGGTATGTCTTTAATAGAAATTTGGGTACCAGGGCCACATGATCATGAGTCATGTCCCTACCAAGATGGTTGAAGGGCCCAAGAACCAGTATATTAAGTTTTTGTAATCTGCAGTAATGTTGGTATCGCATTTATGGGCCCTTTCCTACTTGACTGTAGTTCCACCTGTGACAGTGATGAATTTGTCTCACAGCAAACATGATTTTGCGATGAATTTCCTTTGTTTTCTATGTTCTATAATTAGCAATAGGAATTCTGGTAGCATAGTGGTTACCAGTCGGACTGCTAATCTCAC